AAGTCATTTTAAAAATAATATTCGTCTTTTATAGAGAAATTATCAAGATTGACGTTGATGTTCACTAGTATCACTTGAACAACGAATACGATCAAACATTGTCTCATCATTACTCATTTTTGGATCTATTTTAGATATCATTTATTTCTAAAAATATCGAGAAAAAAAGACAAATTAAATCATTGTAAATAATAAATTTAGTCTTCTTAAAACATCGATGAAAATATCTTAAATTCTTCTTTTATTTACTTTTTTCTTTTATTTTAAGAAACATGATATCATCTTTATCATTTACAACATATTATAGTGAAATTCTCATTAATTATGAATAAAAAATATTTTGACATTTTGTCACATAGACTTGTTATTTATTTAAATATTATATAATTAACCTTTTACTCATTTTTATTCTTCTTTCACTAAAATAAGAGTGTTCAACAACTGAGAAATACAAATTCTTACGATTCCTTAAAGTAACTACTAATACTACTAGAATTACCGAGGAAATAAGAAATGACCTTCATATACTTGACATTTACTATATAATTCCTATATTAGTCCTTTGATAGGTAATAACAATAGATGAAAATGATCTTGGTTCTTATAGTTAATAGCTGTTCAATACCTCATATACTACGAAAGAATTAACCTGTCGATAATACCTTAATCAAAGAATGAGAGAAATAAATAGAACTATATAATTGTCATCACTCAACAAAGAAACTGATGCAACAATCTGATACTAACTAATACTATCATTACATTCACAGTGAAATCAACAAATCATAAATAAAAATGTGTAACATAAAACTGAGTAATTAAGAAAATTTTTATTGATGGTTCCTAGATATTGAGATGAGCATCTAAACGGTATCTAATCACAATTACCCGAGGAACTAGAGAAATTAGGTTATGATGCATTACACAGTAAGAATCTTTTTAAAATGTAACAGTTTTCCAGGTAACATTAAGGTTAGGCTCCTTTTAGGTACTCCCTCAATACTTAAGAAGTATCAGCAAAATTGTCTTAATTCCTCAGTTTTTATCTTACGAATTTGTAATTATGATTTGTTCATTTCGCTTTGAGTGTAAAGTAAGTATTATTTAGTATCAGATTGTTGTATCAGTTCCTTTGTTAGGTAATGACAATTAGGACAACTTATTTCTTTCTCTTTCCTTCGATTGAGGTAATTATCGATAGGCTAATTCATTTGTAGAATATAACGTGTTAAGTTGTTATTGCTCTTGAAAATTGAGATCATTTCCACTTGTTGTTATTAAATAGAAAAGGACTAATGAAGGAATTCTATAGTAACTGTAAAGGATATGAAGATTGGTTCTAGTTTTTTCGAGAATTCTAGCAGTAGCTTTAAAGAATCGTAAGAATTCGCATTCCTCACTCATTGAACACTGGTGAAATGTAAGAACTTATTAGTATCTGCTGGTATTCTTAAAGTAAAAATAAATAAAATCGGTTGTTAAATTTGTTGAATTGATCTGAATCGATAAAATCTATTGTTTGGATGTTATATTTTGTGTATAAATTGATAAAATATTAATTGAATGATTAATTACCTTTTGATGAGACAGTATTTTCATCTAATGAAGAAGTTTTAATAAGAATATGACTGAATGATTTATCAATAACAGTTAAAGGTGGCGGCCTGTCCAATCGTGACGGAATCACGTTTTTTCACTTTGATTTTTCAATATCTCAAATTATCTTAAAAAAAAATGTGTGCTGGTGCGAGAGTTTGATACAAGAATAGAACAATCTTTCAAGTTCAAGCTACTTGAGGATGAGGTACTGGTAACAAAATATTTTCTTAAAAAGAGAACTGACAGTTGGTCACATTTCTTCATATATTTTTCACATTCTTCGTCAATATAACTCTCATTAAACAATACTTTTGCAAAAGTTGATAAATTTATTTTTTGCATGCAGCTAAGGTCTAATAAGTGAGCAAAATTATATCCTTTGTTTTCCCTGAGTCATTGTTTTGATACGACACATTACTGATGACCAATCCCAGGCAGTCAACATCAATAAAAAAAACGCGCTTAAATGTGTTAAAAGGGTACGAACTTGTTAAAACAAGTATATGTTTTTGAAATTTACACGTTTTTATCAGTTGTATCTGCAGTTTTTACGTATTAAAATTTCCGAACGTATGTTAAAAAGCGAAAAATCAAGCTGAAAAACGCATTTTTATTCGTTCTTGTTGAACTGTTTTCATTGCGTTAAATACGACCTCGTGAATTTGTTGTTTTTCAACAAGATTAAACGCGTCGTATACAATTGATTTGCTTTCTTAAATACAATTAAATATTCAATCTTTTGTAACTGAAAAATACATTTTTTAAGTTAACCGCTGTGAATAACGACTTAATTACACATGGTAGTCACTTTTGATAAGCATGAAAATTATTATAGAGCGATATGTTCATTGAATGAAAATCGTCGACGTACTCCCTTCGAATAGATACAAAAGTCTGATAATGATACGAATATTTTCGTTTTCAAGAGAACAAAGACATTTGACTTATTCTTTTAACTGTGGAATGACTGCCATAATGTGCAGAATTACTTTGTGTGATTGATCGGAAAAGACTAAGTCTAATAATATGCCTATTTAATAGTTTGGTTTATTCAACCAATTTCGTATTTTTCTTTGGCTCAAGCCAGTTGTTGTGGTTTCTGTGCTCGCTCATTTAGCATGGGATAAAATAATAAAGAATCTGACTATACAGCAAACCCGAGAACGTTTTCCTTCTTTGTTGTTATTTATATATTTGATGGCAATGATAAAAACTTCTCTCTACGCGTTCTGATGATTTCATGGATTTCGTTGCAAAATTTTCAAAACTTGTTAGAAATACTAGTCGCACAATACAAAAAATAATAAAAATGATACGTCTCATTGAGGAATGTTAAGTATGAAACAAACATGTTTTTACGAGTTTTATGAATCCAATCGCTGTTGACGGCATACTCTAAGTTTTTATTAGAAAGAACCTCTCTAGAATTACTTCGCAAAATTAATAACCTGATTTTGAACTCTTTAACTCATCACTATGAGCAGATGCTTCAGAGTTTAGAAAGTCAATTTTGATGAGTCTATGAACGTCGAACATATAAAACTTTTTTTTTTGTTTTTTCTCGAGTTTTTAATCATGGAATTTTTTCATTTTTTCTATCTGTTAATCAGTTCTTTGCACGTTGTCCTACTTTTTCATTCTGTCGCGTCATTCCATTTTCTTTTCTTGTATATTTGTATTTAATTATCTTTCTTTATGTTTTGGTTTTCATTTCAATCGCAAATTTCTTACTTTGAGACATTTTTCTCATGTGACTTAGTTGATAGATAGATATCCTTATGTCTTCTAAAATCATAGAAATTCTCTATTCCTAATGAAATGAGTGAGAATAATTGATATCAATAAATTATGTCTGCTATTCAATGTTTTTTTTGCACTATTAAAAAAGAGAATAAATGTTGTTCGTCTGTAAAATTGTTTGTTCACATTATCGAAGATAATAAAAATACAAATAATAATAAGAGATAGTTGTTAATCTTAAACAAAATATAGAAATAAATTTGATTTTACCTATGTGTGAGTTACTTTCCATACGGATTCACACGTTTCTAGATGCTCGAGTTTTTAAATGAAGCGATCTATTTAATAGAAAAGCAACCATCCTATATTTCAAAGTTTGTTGGAAGATGACCACGATGATATCTTAACTGTTTCAGTTTGATTTTCATTCTTCGTCGCTGATATATGAATTAGATTTATATTATCGGTTAATCTATCCCAAACTATACCGTTACAATTCTTTAGTCATTCATTTAATTTTTCGAATTTGAATTACGAAAAAAGTTTTATTGTATAATTTAGAATCGATTAATGAATAATAAAACCTAGTCAATATAACCATAAAACTGCATGTTTTTATTGATCAGTTGTTGTAAAAGATGGTATAGATTCTCAAAAATTCTTTATATTACATTCTACTTTTTTTTTGGTTTGAATAGAGATCAGTCTAAACGACTTGTTCGAACAATTCAGTCGAAGCAAAATAATCTGTTTAAAGATTTTAGACTAGAATTGGCATTACTTTCTCAAAAATGGATTAGTTATAACCAGCACACATGATGCTTCAGACTAATCCGTATCACTATTGAAGACATTTCCGACACAGATGGCCAAGACATTTTCTTAAGTGATTAGAAAAATCTTAGATAATTTTTCTCATATAAATAGTATCATTTTCATTAAAATGTCGACAAGTTCAGAGATGTTCAAGCTGCAAATATAAATATTGAGTTGGGATTTTGTGCCTTTTGAAACAGAATATTGATTGTATGAAGCAATAACTTGAGGGCAAGTCAAGTCATTGGTTTTAGAAAAGTAATGTAGTTTATATAACGCAGGAAAACTCTAATCAAATACATAATTTTGTAGCCAAAAAATTTCTGAACTAGATCACGTTTTATTTGCAGTCATATTCTTTATGTGAAAAAAGTTACAGCAGGTTTTTTCAATGAATTGAGAAAATGATTTGCTCATCTATGATTCTAGACTAATCAACTAGCCTTTCTTCAGTTACTTTTGATTACATATAGAATAACCAAGCGTCACTCTACTATTTAGACTCTCTAAACTCATCTCAATCGGTGATTAGATCGTAGTTTGTCGCTAAGTGTCGGATATTGTCGAACCATATACTCGAGTTCATTTTTCATCTCCTCTGACTAGTCTGGACGCTGGAATGAATAGATAAAACGGACTAGACATGATCAATGTGAGCATGTTTTGGACTAGTTCAAACATAGTTGGAGGACATTCCTCCCAAAAACGACTGATTATGACCAGTAGTATGGACATTTCTGACTAATCATTTCGAACGTCCTTATTTATTTATTGCTTAATTGGGACAGTATATATATATATATTGATAACTGCTGACAAAACGGAGTCACTATCTTGAAAGAATAATGTCTCCACCATGTGCCATTCATACATGCAAACGTAAATCACAAGCATTATGTCATTGTTGCAGCAAGAATCTTTGTCTTGATCATTTGAAAGAACATAATGATTTAATCTATGCTCAACTAAATCCTCTTGTTGGCGAAATTAATACTCTGCATAATCAGATGTTGGCATTAAATGTTGATGAAGTTATTGATAAATGTCGTCAAAAATTGGATAAATGGCGTCATGATTGTCATACTATAATCGATTGTTTTTATGAAGAAAAATGTCAAGAACTTCAACAACGTTGTGTTCAACAAGCTAGTCAAAAACAGAAAAAAATTCATCAATTGAAATTAAAAACAAACGAACTTATAGAAGAACAAGAAGCTACGCATGACGATATTTTGTCATTGAAAGCAACTATTAATGATATCAAACATGATGTTAACCAATTTGAAGAGAATGGCATT